GTTTTTACCTGAGTTGGAGTCTTTTTACTGGAGTGTGAGTGTTTTTATCAGTGGTTTTTTTTTTAACTGAGTCAGTGTTTTTACCTGAGTGTTTTACCTGAGCCTGTGGTTTTACCCGAGTCTGAGTCTTTTTACTGGAGTGCGAGTGTTTTTACATGAGTGAGTGTTTTTACCTTACTGTGTGCTGCACTGTGATTTCGTTCAGGCTGCACATACGGATCATCAGACTTCTGATAAATCACATCCTAATAATTACAAGTGTTAAAAGTAACATTCCTTCCTCTGCCACCTTACACAAACATTTTAAACTAAGGTCTCTCTGCATCTACTGGTGCTCAGAGTGTGTGCTGAGAATGACTCTCAGCTACAACCACAGCAAAGTTAACCTGAGCGTCTGTAAAACGGACCGAGTCAGAGCACTTTTTGTTTGATTCGCTGCCATGCCGTTGACTGGCAGCCATCTTGAACCATGCTGGCTCCAAAACGTGAGCAGGTGATGTACATCCTGTTACAATTACAATTTCTGTTACAACCTGTCCAGTGGCCCATGAGATACTTTACTAACAGACAAATGACACAGCAGACATTACATGATTGTGCATCTTTATTGGCAGCAGGAGATGTGGAGACTGTCAGGAGAAATGATCATGAAGCTGCATTTTAACATAAGATGCAGAACTGGCCAGTCTTTGAAATCTGAGCCACACCCAGGACCCTGTCCCTGCAGGGCGCTGCTGGAGCAGCAGGACGTTTTTCAGTGCACAACTACTGGCTGGCTGAAGTTAGGTCCACGAAGGACCGGTCCACGAAGGACCGGTCCGGTTCAGACCGATTTAACACGTGCAGATCAGTGACAGAAACGAGTTGATTTGTAAGCAGCTAGCACATCCAGAGCGAGCACCAGAGGCTAGAAGTGGTGGCATCATGGGTGGAAAAGGTGTAATCAGGTAAGTACAGGAGTATCCAACAGTCAGTCAGAGGTCACCAGACTCAGAGGAGTCATCGTAGAGACGTTACACAACATTAACAGCACTTAATAATGTTTGATATTCATCACATTTTAGGTTTGTATGAATAATGTTGAGCAACAGTCCACAGGGGGTGGGGGTGGGACAGACAGACAGGGTCCCCACAGGACATGTCCATGGACTGCCTGCCATCCATTAGATCTGAGAGTGACATCCTTGTAACACGTTCACTTTCAACATGCTCAGCTTCAGTGTTTCCACTCCATCCTGGAGATTTTTCTTTTTTTTTTTTATCTCCAAGTGAATTTTAGGCCTTGAGAAGTCCAGATGAAGCTTCCTGAGCCCGCAGACTTCACACCAGCCTGAAGTAACAATTCAACGCATTCATGAAAAAACTGAAAACTCTTCAGTTTCAGATAAAACGTTTTACACGATGATATAAAAACGGGCATCAAGTGGTGTTATCTTTGGTTTTATTGAACTCAGTTATTTATGTCCCCAACTATTTGTCAGTCCTGAGAACTAAACTTGTCTTTGGTGTAAATGAATAACATAAACATTCCTATTTTACAAAGAGCACCTGATGGCAGCAGCTACACAACATTCACTTCCTGCCAGTGTTTACAAAATACAGTTTAATTAAAATGTACCGTTTATTTTTATTATGCCCAGCCTTTGTGAATTAATCTGTGAATTAAACGGACTCAAAGGTTTATGTGTATAAACAGATGTTCAAAGGTAATTTGTAAACTTGGTTTCTCAACAGAAGAACTCTCATGGCCTCGGTCCTTCATGTAAACTATATACTGAAGGTCTCTGAATAAAACCTGCACATTAAATATAATCCAGATTGGTCTCGTTCAGTTTGTTTTCCAGTTTACACGTGTAGGTAAAAGACGCCGTTACAAAAACTTAAAAAATGTTCAACAAAATGTCACAAAGTTAAAAAATATAGTTGTAAGCAAAGTTAAGTTGACTGTCCCGTGTTTGAGATGTTCTTTTTGAAGTGCTGCTGATGAGGCAGGATGTCCACTCCTGGGTGAACATAGCTCTGTCACTTCCTACCACATCTCCTCCCGTCCTCAATGGACATCAACGCCCCCTCCCATCCTCACTCGACATCCATCGTCATGCCGTAGTCAGGGGTGATGGTGAACTGGATTTTACCATCTGTTTCCTGCTCTTCGAACACTACAATCTGCAACAGAACACACACAGCAGCAGCTCAGTCAAGGTCATGAGAAACTGTGTGTGTTGCTTCAGACTGGAGCTCATCAACACTCCAGAGCGATGAACAAACAAAGATTTGGGATAAAGCTGCAACAATTGGAAACATTTTTCTGTCCACACAAAGAATAAAGCTATTGATCAAGAAAACAATATTCATTTAATTTAATTTCGTGTCCAAAAACCTGCACGTTAGGCTGCCGACGTCTGCGATCTCAGAGGGATCTACTTGGTGAGATAAAGGTTAATAAATAAAGATAGTTTATCATTTGATTGGTTGTAGATGGCTGTCTGTTCAATATTTTAAACTTAGCCTGCTCGTTACACAAAATAAAACATTTGAAAAGACGCAGACGGGCTCTGGTAAACAAGGACAACTTTGTGTTTCTGAGAAACTAACACGTACCAGCTCCAGATCAGAAGTAAGCACTAGAAATAAGCTGCTTTTGAGGACACTTGTTAAAAAGGAAAATATGGTTTTCTGTGCATATCACAAAGTCAGAGCTGTTTATTCACAGATAGTCAATACTTAAAGCGTAGTTCAAACTTAAGTTTATACTTCACAAGAAATAAAGAAATTGACTCTTGCCGAAATAATTGAGACAAAACTGACATCATTTTGTTCTTATAAGAACTCTGAGGCCGTTCTAGACACAAGATCCGGAGCAGAACTTTTTTCTCCCAAGCGTTTGGGTCAACTATGATGTGACTGGTCAGAAATATGAAGGGGAGGTGGTTAATGCGACAAGCCACAGCTGCTGAACAAACATGAGGTTGCGACAGTCATCAAAACGATGGCCGACATCTTGAAATAAAATGTTGTCCTCCATCAGCCGAAAACCTCCCACCTCTGTGATCATCACAATCACAACAAGAATCAAACTGATTTCACTCCATTTGCTTGTGTGTTCTTGTCGGCGTCTCACAATGTTGTGCTGTGTGTGTGTGTGTGTGTGGGGGGGGGGGGGGGGCTTCTTGGAGATGGGACTGCTGAAACAATGTTTCTCTGTGACGTCACACAGATTTCTGAACTTCCTGGAGAGTATAAACCCAGCTGTACATTTGGTTTGCCTTTCAGAACCAAGCAAAGCATCTGGTTGTTATCAGTTTTACATTAGAGGAACATAGCCTCAGATGAATATTATACTGTCGGTCCGGTCCTTAAAGTGATGTTGTCTGAAAAGGTACAAATTATTGATAACTATTGAACACAAGGCCACTTCTAAGTGACTAAACTATCCCTTTAATGCATTTGCTTTTAAATGGACTTATAAGACCCAATCCACACTTCAGAACCAGACCTCAGGTTTCAACATGAAACAGAAGCAATGAAGCTGCTGCAACTTCAAATCTTTATAATAAATATAAAAGCATTTTTGGAAATATCAAATTAATAAAGGATTGAAAAATGTTATACTGGTGAAATGAACAGTTGTTGAGATATTTGCATGCGCAGTAACAAAAAGTGATGTCAGTAACAGGAAGTGATGACAAAAGGGAACAGAGCATTGCTCCAAAGGCAGAGTCAGCGTTTAAAAACCAGGACGTTCTTCTTTTTAACAGTTCTCCTCTGATGTCACTTCCTGTTTCACTTTGACCACACCAAGTTCAAAGAAAGTATGTGTAATGTGACAACACGTCAACCAGGTGCTTCATTAATTCTCCACCAGCCAATTAGAGATCGGACATTTTGACAGATAACTGATAACTCAGGTGTTTGTTAGCACGATGCCAACATGAAAACAGGTAAATCTAATTAAATACATCATACATTGTTGGTCCTGAACCACCTGAAGGACCAAGCTTTTACTCATGACTGTATGTGTGGTTCTGACCCAGTACCTGGTTGTCTCCTCTGTGAAGCCAGGGACCTGGAAGGTAGAGGGTTTGCTGAGGACCAACGAACCAGTAGCGCCCCAGGTTCCTGCCGTTTACAAACACAACACCTTTGCTCCAGCCCTATGAACAAAACCAGTTAAAAGATAAAAACACAAACTCTCTTTTCCAACATTCGTTCTGTTTGATTCATTCTGAACTGTTAATAAGACGTGGTAAATTCAGACGCTGCACCACCAGGGGAAAGGACTTTTCAACAGGCGCTGGCTTCAGTCAATGATAGCATTATGCAGGCGTTTATAAAAACCCAACATTTTATTATTTTTTACCCTAGAGAAGCTTGTAAAATATACTCTGACCTTACTAAAAGGTTACCTCTGTGTTTTTATGCCAACGATTCCAGTAAATCAAAAAAGAAACGGCTCAATAAATGACAAAAGAACAAAAAGGACCACATGTAATCACGTTTAGATTATATAAAAGACTCGGAGGCAAGTTTTGGTCCATTCTCCCAGTTAAAGGTACTGTAACTCATTACATCTCGGTCCTGTTTACAACACATATACCTTCTTAAATATTTCCACCCAATTAATTGACTTTTCAGCTAATAAAGCAGCTAATCATCTGTGACAGTGGTACAGTTGGACGGAGGTGTTAAATGGACTTCCTGACAGTTTCTGAGCAGCTCCGACTCACAGGGAGTTTGATGAATGTGTCTTTAGGAGAGCTGTTCACATGAAGTTTAGCCTGGAAAAAAGCTGGAAAGGAGGGCCGCTGGCGCAGAGTCGCCCAGTGGCCTGAAGTCACCAGTCTGTAAGAGAATAAAGTACAAGGATTTATTAGTTCAGATACGTTCATTTGCAGACTTGGTTTAAAAAAAAATCTTTTGTAAAGTTTAGGTGGCCTATCTGTAAGGCAGCAGTGTTTTCTGTCTTTCATATAAATATCAAGTTAATGTTTGGACACAGACGGCAGATGAAATGTAACAGCAGTTGTGAGACGAGTGATGAGAGGAGCCTGTTGGGTTCTCAACAGAAAGAAACGCAAAATGATTTTATCAAACACAACGCATGGATCTAGGTTTACTGTTGGATAAAAATACACTTCCATCATCTACTTACTTTAAACAGGAGTCCCAAACGGAGACGGGAGATTTTTTTAACCCAGTTTACTTGTAAAGGCAGACGGTCACAGAAACAGGCTTTTACAGATGTTCAAATGTACATGCTTAGAGCCTGGTTATGAGAATCTGTGACCGGACAGTGTGCAGGAAGTGCTTTTATAATACTTATAAGCACGAGGACCTCGGAGAGGCGTCAGGTGCCTGCAGGCTCCTCTCTGAGAGAAAAAGAACCCTCTGACCTCACACACATGGTTCAACATTAATTTAACATTAGAAGAAAAACATCCATAAACCCTTGACATTTACCCTGCTGACCCTGATGTTTACTCATTGTGAAAATCTGATAAAACGCAGGATAAAGAGTCTGTAAAGTTTAGAGTTTTTGTAAAATGGAAACATTACTGAGGAATAAACACTTTGGTGCCAAGTGTGCACCTGACTCCAGTACCAGTAACGGGTGATGCATACAGAATAGGGATGCACATATTGGATTTTTGGGCGATATCCGATATGTCAAAACTTATTTGGCCAATAACCGATACAGATATTTTATATACTTTCCTTTGTCAGAACATAGCACTCTTATTTAGGCTTATTTGATACAAAAATTGTGTAACAGCTGTAAGAGCTGGTGACGTATATTCAGTAACAGCCATATGATATGCATAACACTTTAACTTATATAAAATGAAAAGTGTTAAATGTTATTTATTAGCATTAGTCACCTGCGATGCTGTCTCACTTGTGGAGGCTTGTTCCAGGTTTCTAGCTGCAGTGTGGGATCCTCTGCACTCTTGTGCATGAAGGACAGACTTTTTAAGTTCAAAGTTTTTGTCTATCCATTGTGCTGTAAGACTAATCATGCTAACGGGGCTAACACGACGTCCAAATGTCTGTGGTAAAACTCACCCAACAAATCATGCTATCAGCTATTAGCTTCTCAATGATGTCTGAAATGACGGCTTGTAACTCTGGTAACGTTACGTCGAAAAAATATCTCCAACTGGGACGATGTAGCGAGGCTCAACGTACTCCATAAATCTTCAGAGTCCGACATCCTCAACGGGAAAAAAAATAATTTACACACCGCTGACATTTTGAATTTTCCTCTTCGCCATGAGATCAGGTAGGCGGGCATGATGTCATCACGTTGTGCTGCTGCTGCAGGCATCCTTGTCACTGGGTTGTCATACAAAAACAGCGTCTTTTATATCTGTGAGTTATTTTGATGGAATGGCAGATGTCTGATATTGAACTTAAACGCTAATATCGGCCGATACCATGTCGATAATATTGTGCATCCCTAATACGGAACATTATTCACCTGTCCACATACAATCTATAGCAATGGTCTGGACAAGCCTTATAGTACCTTTGACCTTGATTTGTGACCTTTATATTAGAGTTGGGGGTGAGAAGACAATGAGAAACGCTGTTAGTGGTGGTTCAAATGTTTATCGAGTTTCATTAAATTGTCTTGAGCAGATCAGAGTTTATGTTCTGGACAAGCAAAGACCTTGTTTTAACTTTGACCTTGATTTGTGATGTTGACCTTGAAGCTGGGGGGGGGGATGAAAAGTGTTTCTGACGTACGGAGACTGTACCATAATAACTCAAGACAAGGTTATAATAAAATAATATAAAAATAAATGTTAACTTAAAATACCTGCCCTTATGACAGTTCTGAGATATGAAGCATCCTGAGGAGTCCCCTCGGTGCTTGTTAACAAAATAAATAAATAAAAACAGACTCTGAATCTAAAGCAACATTTGGTAAAAATAAACCTGGTTTGATTTATGCTGTCTACCTTTGTGCAAAGAATCAAACAAAAGCAAGTGTTTAGAAGAGCTTAATGTGAAGAACAAAATGGTTTGAGCCCAATCCGATTCAGCAATAAAATACTACAACGAGCTTCATGAATTTAACATTAATTTGAAACTCATTATTGTAGTTAAACTGTGATCATCTTGACTTTCATTATAATAATAGTTGTATAATAATAATAAAAAACCATGCTGATGGATTTCCACCCAGCTGGGTCTGCATCGCTGTGTGTGGCGTACAGGTGGGAGAAACATCTCCATCTATCTGGCACACTTGAACACCATTCATTTGGGCTTCTAATGACTGATTTGAACCATTTCTTTTGAGGGTGGAATGATTATCCAACGAAAAACTGCCCTTTTATTTAAAACAAGACCATGTTAAAATGTATTGTGCTTTTTCTAAAACAATCACACAAGCTGTCTTTTTTTTTAACGAAGTGGGCCAGATTGAAGTCACCTGCGAGCCGCCAGTTGGATATCCCAAGTCTAAACAAATAAATACCACAGTTTGTCAATTTCTCAGGAACTGAATACTATTATCAAGTTCTGCCAGGTCACTGAACCAGACTTCCTTTGAACTGGGTGGTTCTGGTATGGGCTCGGATGTTAAACTCAGTCCCACAAACTGCCGTCAGGGCTGAGGTCCAGAAATGTACCGTTAGCTTGTTTTATCCATTCAGGAAGCAGTTCTGATGTGTTCAGCTGTTGAAGTGTGAGGACCTTGAGGAACACCTTCATTATTCCATCCACTTTGTGCAGATCACCAGTATCACAGCATGATGCTACCACCGCCATGCTTCACAGCTGTCACAGCGTTCTCAGGTTTAAAGGCCTCATCCTGAATCCTCCAGACAGACCGCTCATCATTGTGGGCTCAACTGACCATAACATGTCTCCAGAAGGTGTTCTGTTTGGAGCAGACGCTTCTCTCTTGGTCTGCATCTCGTCAATCCATGGAGACGTATAACTGTCCTCACTGTAGACATATGAACTGGTGTCCCTGTTCCTGGGCTGTCCCTGCTTAGCTCTTGCCTGAGTTTCATGAAAACCTCCATTATTTAAAGTGCTGCTCAATCAAACAAATGTTCTTCCAGTGGTTCCCAACCCTGGTCCTTGAGGAACACCATACAGCATGTTTTAGTTGTTTCTCTGCTCCAACACACCTGATTCAGTAATTTAATTGCTTCCTCATGTTCTGCAGAAGCCTGCTTATTACACATTTATAAAAATCAGGTGTGTTGGCGCAGACAAACAACTAAAACATGCAGGATGGTGTTCCTCAAGGACCAGGGTTTGGAACCTCTGCTTTATACTAAAAGAAAGCCAATCATGATCACTAATGAAAAGTTTGTAGACCATGTCCTTGTTGAGTTCAAGAATCCTAGAACCTTCAGTTCCTATTAATAAAATATTTAGTTGAAATCATAAACTTGAGCCTGTACTTATAATTCTGACCCTGTGAGAATTCAATAAACTCAAACTCGTGCAAACAGTTGTTTATAAAAAGACCTCAAGTTGTGCGTTGTGTAATTCTCCAACCCTGGAAAAAGAACCCTTCAAATAACTCATTAAAAGCTCTAGATTAAAGTGACAATCATGATGAGTGGCGAAGGTTCTTGTCAAAGTTTATTTTCTTGTCTCAGATAACTAAATTGTGTTTTTGTAAAATGGCCTCCAGGACACTCAGGTTCTGATCAGAGCTTGCCTGAGGGACAGAAAAGATCCGCTCAGCTGAAGGTCATAATGTTCTGTCTGATCCATTTTATGGGTCATGGTTGATTTCCTGCTTTGAAGCTTTTATACTAAAAGGTAAAAAAAACATTCACTGCAGTTTTCATGTAGCCTGCATTATATTTTACATTTGATTAATAATTGTGGTTCAAACTTTACCTTTTTATTTCTGCAGGTACAAAAAGTTACTGTCTGTGTTTTTGGTAGAAAGCTAAAAACAGTAAAATATGTTTAATCAAAATTGAATCACAGTCCTGCCTATAATGTAAGATATTTGACAGAAGGAACAGGATTGTTGTTTAAACTGTGCCATCATGTTCCCACAGTAACTGGATTAAGCAGAGATATAATCTGCTGGTTTAACTCATACACTGGGAGGTGTCAGAAGAAACGAGGAGAAACAAATCAAAAACACAGACCTGTTCAGAAATCCAGGCTTCAGATCCAGGCTATGAATAACAAAGTCTCTGAGAGGGTGTGTGTTTAACTCGATGTCTCCAATGATGCCTGAAAGGTCAGTCGAAGATGTCAGAAAGTCGGACCTTCAGCTCAGACTTCCACCGACACTGATGAACTTATTCGTACCTTTGCGCTGCTCATCCAGAGTTTTCCCATAATTCACCCTCCCCCAGTTCTCCACCAGTAAACTCAGAGTTCTTCTTTCCTTCAACACAAAAAACACAGAAAACATGAGCTGTAAAACAGAGTTCAACAGGCCGCCATGACAAGAATACAAGACACATGTTAAAGCTCCTGAGACATGAACATCCTGAAGATACAAGGAAACGTCATGGCACACATGATTTTACTCATTCTGCCACATACGCTAAGCAGATAAACTACAAACTCCTGAAAATGACTCTCTCAGAGATTACTTGTAGTTTAGGGTAAAAAAAATAAAGTTAAGCAAAGACACTCATCTCTGTTATAATCTGGGACTTAAAATATTCATCTTTTAGTGTTAATATTGTTTAATTATAAGAACTAAAGCAGCAGACACAGCCTGTCTCACAGTGAGAGACACAGACTAAGCATGCTCCTGTGGTGGGTGTCTGTCTGTCGCTCGCTCGCTCTGTCTGTCTCTCTGCCTGTCTGTCGCTCGCTCTGTCTGTCGCTCGCTCTGTCTCTCTGTCCTTGCTCGCTAAGTCTGTCTGTCGCTCGCTCGCTCGCTCTGTCTGTCTGTCACTCACTGTCACTCGCTCTGTGTCTGCCTGTCTGTCTGTCTGTCGTTAGCTCGCTCTGTCGCGCGCTCTGTCACGCTCTCCATCTGTCGCTCACTCTATCTGTCATTTGCTCGCTCTGTCTGTCGGCTCGCTCTGTCTGTCTGTCGCTCACTCTGTCGGTCTGTCGGTCTGTCTTTCTGTCCGTCGCTCGCTTGCTCTGTTGCTCGCTCGCTTGCTCGCTCTGTCTGTCGGCTTGCTCTCTGTCTATCTGTCGACTCACTCTCAGTCTGTCAGCTTGCTCTCTGTCTGTCTGTCGGCTCGCTCTCTGTCCGTCTGTCGGCTCGCTCTCTGTCCGTCTGTCGGCTCGCTCTCCGTCTGTCTGTCGGCTCGCTCTCTGTCTGTCTGTCTGTCGGCTCGCTCTCTGTCTGTCTGTCGGCTCGCTCT